GACCAAAGTAACAAAGCCTACCATCAGTAACACACTACGCCGCCAGGGACTCAAATCCTGCAGTGCCAGACGTGTCCCCCTGCTTAAGCCAGTACATGTCCAGGCCCGTCTGAAGTTTGCTAGAGTGCATTTGGATGATCCAGAAGAGGATTGGGAGAATGTCATATGGTCAGATGAAACCAAAATATAACTTTTTGGTAAAAACTCAACTCGTTGTGTTTGGAGGACAAAGAATGCTGAGTTGCATCCAAAGAACACCATACCTACTGTGAAGCATGGGGGTGGAAACATCATGCTTTGGGGCTGTTTTTCTGCAAAGGGACCAGGACGACTGATCCGTGTAAAGTCTAAGTCCACAACAATGCTTAAACCATATCTACACCCCTGATGCAAACAGCACATGAAGACAATTGCACATCACAAATAGCCTACTAACCAACACTTCGGACTAAACTTTTTCAATACCTGGTTTGCATATCATCAGTGGCGATTTTAGCATGTAAATCTAGGTGGGGCAAACAAAAAAAGAAAAAAATGTATGCATGCCAGCAAAGCCACTACACAACACAACACTAAACAATACATTAATTCCACTATAACGGTGACAAACGGTGCCCACAAACTGTTATGGCCTACATAAAGCTGTCTCAACAGCAGAGTCCCAACACCTTACCACTGCTACACCTGGCTATCATCAGAGCCTTGTCTGGCAGCGAAACAGTCAATTCAGCCTCATTTACTGCCTTTAAAAAACATAGCTGATATGGCTGACTTGCTTAAACAAATGTGGTTTTTACTGACAATTTAGATGTACAGACTATGGCATAAGGGGACGACGAGCGGATAAGAGGCGATCCGTAATTTTGATTAAGACATTAATGAGCGAGCTAGGACGGACATAGTCAATATAACTATTTGTTCAGCACTTTTGAAATGTACAGCGACAGAACATGGGCCGTTCTTACAGTATTCTCACTGTACACAAAGTCAGAACCGTCTGATAAATAAAGGGGGCATATAAGCAGACAATGAAAGCTCTTACAATATTCGATGATGACATTTCTCTAAAACAGGCTATAGGCTACATGTGCACCACCAACAGCTACACAACATACACTTAGTATTACTTTCTTAGCTACAGTATACATATCTCCCTGACATATTATATCATTTATGCAGCAGCATACAATACATTTTTGGATTTACCTTGTTGTGCTGTGCTCACTTGAACAGGAAGGTGGTGCGGCGGTCCTTCGTGGGCAAATTTTGTCATCAAACTTTGTCATCAAAGTCTGGCATTCTCTGGATTTATGGTGCTTTCAAGACAACTGGGAACTCAGAAGGTCGAAACATGACTGCCGAGTGCTGAAGCGCGTAGCGTGTAAAAATCGTCTGTCCTCGGTTGCAACACTCACTACTGAGTTCCAAACTGCCTCTGGAAGCAACGTCAGCACAAGAACTGTTCGTCGGGAGCTTCATTAAATGAGTTTCATTGGCCGAGCAGCCGCACACAAGCCTAGGATCACCATGCTGAATGCCAAGCGTCGGCAGGAGTGATGTAAAGCTCGCCGCCATTGGACTCTGGAGCAGTGGAAACGCGTTCTCTGGAGTGCTTCACCATTTGGCAGTCCGACGGACGATTCTGGGTTTGGCAGATGCCAGGAGAACGCTACCTGCCGCAATGCATAGTGCCAACTGTAAAGTTTGGTGGAGGAGAAATAATGGTCTGGGGCTGTTTTTCATGGTTTGGGCTAGGCCCCTTAGTTCCTGTGAAGGGAAATCTTAATGATACAGCATACAATGACATTCTAGACGATTCTGTGCTTCCAACTTTGTGGCAACAGTTTGGGGAAGGCCCCGCAGCAATGTTCCAACATCTAGTGGAAAGCCTTCCCAGAAGAGTGGAGGCTGTTATAGCAGCAATGGGGGGACCAACTCCATATTAATGCCCATGATTTTGGAATGAGATGTTCGACGAGCAGGTGTCCACATACTTTTGGTCATGTAGTGTAGCTCTACTTTTAGAGATATACTGTGCATCTTCTGATGAAGAAAAGCAGCTAGAGGAAAGAGTAGCATAAATAATTGTGGTACTTTTTCTATGTCTGTGTGAGTTTATTTTTGTTTGCATCTGCGAATAGAGATATAGCCTATATTTCCACCTGTGTGTTTTCTGTGCTCTAAGTATCTCTGTACATGTTCGTGTGTGTGTGATGTGTAGGGAGAGATGAGGGAGCGGAGAGAAGAGGGGGGATGGGGTGGCAGGTTGATTATGGTCGCAGGTCTCGTTGCCAGGAGACAGCGGGGACGAGGGATGCCAGGTTGCTAGGTAACCGGTGCGATGCAATGACCAGCGCTGTGTGATGGAGCGGAGGGAGACAAAATTGAAAATGGTCTTTCTGCTCCCCCCATCCCCTCCCCCTCCCTCCTTGTAAACGCTCTTGAAAGAGACAGAGATGGTCTCCACTGATATATTTACTGTTCAGAGTCACGGATTTAAATTTGAGATAAAACTGGGAGACAGAAATGTGTCACCCTCTTTACTGCAGCCTGTTTGGGGCTTATTGATACAGTGAGTGAGTGGAGGGGACAAGAGATTATGGAAGAGGGCAAGTGAGGAGAGAAAAATGTGATGAAGAATGTGATTAACAGGGATGTACACACCCTGTCTCTCCTATCATCTCCCATCCCACATCCCACATTCACACTCCTCAATAAATGCAAGTGTGTGTTTGTTTGTGTGTGTGTGTGCGCAAGCATCTGTAGTGTGATGTGTGTGTTTGCATTGAGGGGATGGGGTGGGGGAGGGGTCTTGCTGTGATTTGATTGGATAATCTATGGATTTAATATCTCATACTGTAATCCTAGTGAAATCCTGTTTGGCATCACAGAGGAAAATATTAACTATGTGTGGTCATGTCAATGTGGACATTTGTGTTTGTGCCTCTGTGTATGTTGAGTTGTAAAAATAATCATAATGTCTCTGTAGATTTTGATTTTTAAAAGGACAATATGAACATTTAAAGCTAAATTGGGTCACAGATAGGGCTGGTTTGGCCTTTGTCCGTGTTTAATCTGTGCTGTGTTTTTAAAATGAGCCTGTTGATTTGCAGAGAAAGAGAAAATATAAAAGATAAAAATATTAAAGTGGCTCAGCTTCACAGTGGAATAGAAGGAGACATTTTCTTGGTCCCTACAGTATCTGCCCTTGAGGCAGCAATTAAATGCAACAGGCACCATCTCTTGTCCTTTTGTCCCTACAATTCCAGTTCTCCCCCAAGCATCCTCTCTCCCTTACGACATACACATCTAATAATCCCACCGTCTCTCGACCTAGTACCACCCTTTATTCCTCATTTGTTTTTTCTCTCCTTCATCCCTCGCTTTTTTTCTGCTACACACAATGTTCTGGGAAACCTTGTTTACCTGCTGTGGATCTCATCACAAGGTTGTCATGGTGACCGCAATGTGAGGTGGAGACTTAGTCAGAGGAGCAGGGCTGGTTGCCGTGCCGACCTCGAGTGCCACTGCCTTGATGGCCTCCCCTTCTCCAAGCCCCTGCTCTTGTATATTCTAATTCCATTCTCTTGTGCCATCTGCTCCGCTTCTCATCTCCTTATCACAACCGTGGTAAACATGGAAGCACTCAAGTCATAATAGACTAACCTAGCGTTTATATGAAATATACTCTGTAATGTTTTATTCAGGGCATATTATATCCTGAAATTCGATTTGAGACATTTCTATCAAACAGTTGTTGCATCATGATTAGGTTGTGTCGTTAAAGTCGAAGTGTAGGCTAAGATGTGATGTTTTGGTTTTGTTCTGTGTTTTAATACAGTAGTCTTTCACCTGATGCAAATTAGGACTGCATTTATTCTGCAACTCATTTAGTGGATGACTTTATCCAAGGTGACTTTGCCGAACATTTGAGGCGTGTAGAAAAACAAAACCTCTGAGCTCAAAATTCTATTCTATTTGCTGACTACCGGGAACATTCACGATGTGCAAATGCATTATGATTACTGCTTTCAATCCTTCCCGGTAAACAGGTGCTTCTCAATCCCCATGGTCATCTAATTAATTGTCGTAATCAATGGGACACTCTCCATTAGAAAACCCAAGGCCTGCCGGTGATGATGTTTGTGCATGCAGGTGGCAAGGGCCCGACCATCTCTGATCAATACTGTCTCCCGCTGACCAATCACAGCTGATCAATCAGAGACAGGGATCAGTGACTCAAATGTCACCAGCTCCATAATTAAGACCTTCATTAAGCCACCGTTAACACACTGTCACTCTGCTCCACTCTGCTCACAAATCCCTGTCCTCTCTGCATCCTCCACCTGCTCTCCTTCTCAGTGCACCACCATACATTTGAAAGAGAGTATTGAAGTGCCTAGCTAGGCCTGCATCATTATAAGGATTGTGTCAATGGTCCACAAAAGTAATTTCAGTGGATTATGTTTTTATGATGTGTGAAAGGTTGTCTGTTTCCTCCTTTGTTTTGGTTGCTCTCTCCTCACTCTGGCCTGATTCTGATTCTATCCATTCCTCTACAGCGCTTTCCCCCTCTCTCTCTGTTCAGAATCTCTCACCATTCTAATCCAGCGTGCTTCTGTAATCCGGATTAGCCAGCGAGCATTCTTAATCTTATCACTTGCCTAATCCCGCGTGGGTGTGTGCCTGTGTGTGGGTGTGTGCTTTTCCTGTGTGTGTGTGTGTGTGTGTGTGTGTGAGAGACACTCACTCTCTGGGAGGGAATAGAATTGATAGGGAATGAGATGAGAGTAAAAGAAGAACAGTAAGCCAGGAGGGTAATGGGCAGGGCTTCATCAGAAGCCGAGGGAGTGGCCAGCTCATATTCCAGCCCTTTCTTGTGTTCTACATACATGTACACATTATATGTAATAATAAACAAGAATCTTCATAATTATGGATGTGCCTTGGGATAAGAGGAACCTACTTACTGACCATGTAATATGGGCTTTCGATTTCAGATGAACCGGCCCATTCAAGTGAAGCCAGCAGACAGCGAGGGCAGAGGGGGTAAGAGACAGCTGTTCATAGCAACACCCGTTCAAACAACACCTGAAGAGAAATGCAACTGTTCTAACAACACCTTTCCAAAACACCTGTCTAATGTATTACCTTTTTGAAACAACAAACTGATGTTTCAAGACAAAACCCTGAAACGGCTTCAGCCCAGCTTCAACAAAAATACCCACTCATCACTGCTGCTAAGCAACACCTGTTTCTAAACAACACCTCTTTCCCATCCCCCAAATATTCAAGTAGCAGCATTCTTAAGTGCCTGACTAAAGAAAGTAAATATAATAACGATTTCAACTGCTGTTTTCATTACCTCAAAGACATTGTCACCTAGCATACCGAACAGTGGATGACGAAGGAGCATTCCAGTCAGAGCCAGATCATGCTCTTTGTGCAGCAGGTTTATTGATACTGCACTCTGGTGGCCTTTTCCATATATAGCAGGGTTATAGCGCAATAGTCACAGACACAATATACTATTTATTGTAACTACATCCAATAAAAAAATTAGCTGATCGATTAACACGTTGGGTTTATAAAGTAAAACAAGGTGCAAATTCCTGAGCATGTTCTTGTGTTATATGATAGCTTTTCCTCTTCACCTACATTTGATAATTTTTCTCTCCTTTCTCAATCATTCAATCATTCCATTTTAATCCATGCCCTTTGCCTCTACCTATTCTTGGCCTCAACCAACCACTCTCTCTCTGTTCTTCCCTCCATCACTCTCTGTCCATATTCCTCTCTCTTCGTTCCTGTCTTGGCCCTTCACCTCACCTTCCCCTTAGAAGACAGGAAGCTGTTTGTGGGCATGCTGGGGAAGCAGCAGTCTGATGCCGACGTGAGGAAGATGTTTGAGGCGTTTGGGAGCATTGAAGAGTGCACAGTGCTCCGCGGGCCTGACGGCACTAGCAAAGGTAGCTAACACCATTACTGCAACACTGACCGCTACAACGTCTAGCTTTACATCACCAGCACTAATATTACCATTAAGGTCAGAAATCAGTCACATCTAAACTCGTGACACTACAAAGATAGATGCTTAATTTTCTGTCTTTGTTGTATGAGGCATGACTAATGTTTTTATTTTATTTATTATTTAACTCTTATTTTACCAGGTAAGTTGACTGAGAACACATGCTCATTTACAGCAACAACCTGGGGAATATAATGATGCAATATGTTTTATAGGTCATAGTTAATAATGCTCAATGCGGTTTATGAGCTATGATTGATGAAGCAATTAATGTTTTGTGGACCACAGTTAATGACGCAGCTATAACTAATGAAGCGCCGAACGTCTGGTGCATTTTGTAGGGATATGTTGTGTCACGTGAGGGGGGCCAGGGTTTTACAATGTGTCATGTGTTGTAGGCTGTGCCTTCGTGAAGTACCAGAACAACACAGAGGCTGCGGCAGCCATCAGCACTCTGCATGGGAGCCGTACTCTACCGGTCAGTCTCTCTCAATCTCACTCTCACACACACACACACACACACAGTAATTTAGACACTTAACATAGTGACTCATCAACAGTGAAACGCTGCTACTGTCAGACCTCCTCCTACACAAACACTCCATAGCCTATTGTAATTTATAGGAGTGGAGAAAATATTTGTGGAATGCCCTCCTCAGTCCTCGTGTTAGTGATATAGGTAATTTGGTACAGTGATGTGTGTAATTTTCACTGTGTAACATCTGTAATATCCCTCTCTCTCCCTGCAGGGTGCCTCCTCCAGCCTGGTGGTGAAGTTCGCCGACTCTGAGAAAGAACGAGGGATAAGGCGCATGCAGCAGGTGGCGTCCCAGCTGGGGGTCATCAGTCCCATGACATTACACCTCGGGGCTTACAATGCCTACACACAGGTAGTGAGTACTAGTAGTACTGAACCCCAAACACAGGCATTATGCAGAGATTGGAATACACAGGCGAACACACTGGTAGTAAATGGCTATGTCGCAAATGGCACCCTATTTCTTATATGGGTCAAAAGTAGTGCACTACAGTGCATTCGGAAAGTATTCAGACCCCTTGACTTTTTCCACATTTTGTTAAGTTACAGCCTTATTCTAAAAAAAAATACTAATCAATCTACACACAATACCCCATAATGAGAAAGCGAAAACAGGTTTTTAGAAATGTTTACAAATGTATCAAAAATTAAAAACGTATTCAGACCTTTTACTATGAGCCTTGAAATTGAGCTCAGGTGCATTCTGTTTCCATTGATCATCCTTGAGATGTTTCTACAACTTAATTGGAGTCCACCTGTGGTAAATTCAATTGATTGGACATGATTTGGAAAGGCACACACCTATCTATATAAGGTCCCACAGTAGACAATGCATGTCAGAGCAAAAACCAAGCCATGAGGTCAAAGGAATTGTCCGTAGAGCTCCGAGACAGGATTGTGTCGAGGCACAGATCCGGGGAAGGATACCAAAACATTTATACAGCATTGAAGGTCCCCAAAAACACAGTGGCCTCCATCATTCTTAAATAGAAGAAGTTTGGAACCACCAAGACTCTTCCTAGAGCTGGCCGCCCGGCCAAACTGAGTAATTGGGGGAGAAGGGCCTTGGTCAGGGAGGTGACCAAGAACCCGATGGTCACTCTGACAGAGCTCCAGAGTTCCTCTGTGGAGATGGGAGAACCTTCCAGAAGGACAACCATATTTGCAGCACTCCACCAATCAGGCCTTTATGGTAGAGTGGCCAGACTCCGCCTGGAGTTTGCCAAAAGGCACCTAAAGGACTTTCAGACCATGTGAAACAAGATTCTCTGGTCTGATGAAACCTCTTTGGCCTGAATGCCAAGCGTCACGTCTGGAGGAAACCTGGCACCATCCCTACGGTGAAGCATGGTGGTGTCAGCATCATGATGTGGGGATGTTTTTCAGCGGCAGGGACTGGGAGTCAGGATCGAGGGAAAGATGAACGGAGCAAAGTACAGAGAGATCCTTGATGAAAACCTGCTCCAGAGTGCTCAGGACCTCAGACTGGGGCAACGGTTCACCTTCCAACAGGACAACGACCCTAAGCACAAAGCCAAGACAACGCAGGAGTGGCATCGGGACAAGTCTCTGAATGTCCTTGAGTGGCCCAGCTAGAGCCTGGACTTGAACCCGATCGAACATCTCTGGAGAGACCTGAAAATAGCTGTGCAGTGACGCTTTCCATCCAACATGACAGAGCTTGAGAGGATCTGCAGAGAAGAATGGGAGAAACTCCCCAAATACAGGTGTGCCAAGCTTGTAGCGTCATACCCAAGAAGACTCGAGGCTGTAATTGCTGTCAAAGGTGCTTCAACAAAGTACTGAGTAAAGGGTCTGAATACTTATGTAAATGTGATATCAGTTTTTTTTTTTTAATACATTTGCCAACATTTCGAAACCTGTTTTTGCTTTGTCATTATGGGGTATTGTGTGTAGATTGATGAGGGGAAAAAAACAATTTCATCAATTTTAGAATAAGGCTGTAACGTAACAAAATGTGGGAAAAGTCAAGGTCTGAATACTTTCCAAATGGGAATAGGGTGCCATTTGGGAAGCATACTGACAGTGAATGAGATCGAAGGACTCACTCTCTCTCTCTTTCTTCCTTGTAGCTGGTGCAACAGCAGGCTCTGGTGGCCCAGTCGGCGTACTTGTCTCCTGTATCCACTATCACCATGCAGCAGTTGTCTGCCCTCAACCCCAGCAGCCTTATTGCCACGCCCATCGCATCACTCACTACCTCAGGTAATAAGAAGCTGCCATCCTCCGCCACTTCATCCCCTCCCACAGGATTCTCTGCTCTGCTCATCTCACAGTTTCTCTTTATTCTTTATACAGTATATATCTCGTTTTTCTAGAGTCTTTGCCCCATATATTTCTGCCTTTGATTCTATTTTATTGCGTTTGTTATTGTGTTTGTTTGACCATGTCTGTCTGTCCCCTGGATGGTCGTCCTGTGCAGGTACCAGCACTCCGCCCACCATGGCAGCCACAACAGTGCCTGCTCTGCCTCCACCACTCAGCTACCCTCCAGTGCCAGCTCCACTCAATGGACAGTCAGCATCTGAAACCCTGTACACCAATGGAATCCATTCTTACCAAGGTATCTCACTCAATCTGATGGAAGCAAGGTCAGAGGATCATTATGAATATGTAATCAAATTAACCTTATCTAGGATTTTGGTTTGTTTACTAAGAATCCTGTTGTACGGCACCCAATGCTATTTGGAGCATGTAACCATCCTCAAAAAGCATGTTTGTACAGCAGTTGATAAATCATGCTGTTATTTTTCTCTTTGATTCTCTCTCTCAGCTCAGAGTCCAGTTTTAGATCCTCTTCAGCAAGCATACGCAGGGATGCAGCACTACACAGGTGGGGCAGTAGTGAGTCCGTTTGAGTCCTTAAAATTTCCCGGAGGGAATTTTAGGTTTGAAATGCCCTCTCAACAGTCCTTAATGTTTACTTATGCAAACACACCCACAGCAACCTACCCTGCTGCCTATGGAATGGTGGGGCAGCCATTCCCACACCAACACACAATGCTTGCACAGCAACATCAGCAGCCTCAGCAACTGCAGCAACGAGAAGGTGATTTCTACCTACTTGTCCTCCCTCCTATGAATTCTCACTTTTGACTATTTTCAATGTTGGTTTCCCACAAAGTTTACACTGCCTCAATCACTACCTCATCCTGATCATCTCAAGTCACGTTAGAACCCTCAGGGAGCCTTGATGGTCTAACCTTCCACTGTATTCTTCTTCTTCTTAGGTCCTGAGGGGTGTAACATCTTCATTTATCACCTGCCTCAGGAGTTCACTGACTCAGAGATGCTGCAAATGTTCATCCCCTTCGGCAACGTCATCTCAGCAAAGGTCTTTGTTGACCGTGCAACCAATCAGAGCAAGTGCTTTGGTGAGTGATGATGATGACAACGAGTGCGTCCAAAATGACACGCTATACCCTATGTAGTACACTACTTTTGACCAGGGCCCATAGGGAATAATGTGCCACATTGGGAACACAGTCAATGATGATAATGAGGAGGCAGTGCTGGGAAGGATTGCTCCCTTCTTGTAGTATTAATACTTTCACAGAATTGTCTATAACTGTTTGCTTCTCTTCAGGTTTTGTGAGTTTTGACAACCCGTCCAGTGCACAGACGGCAATTCAGGCCATGAATGGTTTCCAGATTGGCATGAAGAGGCTCAAGGTGCAGCTTAAGAGGCCCAAGGATGCCAACCGACCCTACTAAATGAGGTGAGAATGAGGGGTGAGGTGGAGGGTCAGGGGGATTGACAGGCAGTGGAAACTGTGTTTAAGGTAGGTTATGGCAGGGGTATTCATCTTATAACCTAAGAGGGCAGGAGCCTGCTGGTTTTCTGTTCTACCTGAGAATTAATTGTACCCACCTGCTGTCCCAGGTCTAAATCAGTACCTGATTAGAGAGCAATAATGAAAAAATGCAGTGGAACTGGCTTTGAGGTCCAAAGTTTAGTTTGAGGGGGTTATGGGATAAAGGGAGAATTGTATGTTTTAATTTTGTGTATTAAATTATCAACTGGGATAAAATACACTACATGACCAAAGGTATGTGGACACCTGCTCGTCAAACATCTCATTGCAAAATCATGGGCATTAATATGGAGTTGGTCCCCCCCCCTTTGCTGCGACAACAGCCTCCACTCTTCTGAGAAGGCTTTCCACTAGATGTTGGAAAATTTCTGCGGGGACTTACTTCCATTCAGCCACAGGCATTAGTGAGGTTGGGCACTAATGTTGGGCGATTAGGCCTGGCTCGCAGTCAGCGTTCCAATTCATCCCAAAAGTGGTCGATGGGGTTGAGGTCAGGGCTCTGTGCAGGCCAGTCAAGTTCTTCCACACTGATCTTGACAAACCATTTCTGTATGGACCTCGCTTTGTGCACGGGAGCGTTGTCATGCGGAAACAGGAAAGGGCCTTCCCCAAACTGTTGCCACAAAATTGGAAGCACAGAATAGTCTAGAATGTAATTGTATGCTGTAGCATTAAGATTTCCCTTCACTGGAACTAAGGAGTCTGAACCATGAAAAACAGCCCCAGACCATTATTCCTCCTCCACCAAACTTTACAGTTGGCTCTAAGCATTGGGGCAGGTAGCGTTCTCCTGGCATCTGCCAAACCCAGATTTGTCCGTCGACTGCCAGATGGTGAAGCGTGATTCATCACTCCAGAGAACACGTTTCCACTGCTCCAGAGTTCAATGGTGGCGAGCATTACACCAATCCAGCCGATGCTTGGCATAGCGCATGGTGACCTTAGGGTTGTGTGTGGCTGCTCGGCCATGGAAACCCATTTCATGAAGCTCCAGACGAACAGTTCTTGTGCTGCCATTGCTTCTAGAGGCAGTTTGGAACTCGGTAGTGGGTGTTGCAACCGAGGACAGACAATTTTTACGCGCTACGCACTTCAGCACTCGGAGGTCCTGTTCTGTGAGCTTGTGTGGCCTACCACTTCGGGGCTGAGCCGTTGTTGCTTTTCACTTCACAATAACAGCATTTACAGTTGACTGGAGCAGCTCTAGCAGGGCAGAAATGTGTGAACTGACTTGTTGGAAAGGTGGCATTGTGACGAGTACTGAGAATACGAAGAGGCAGGACGCAGACACAGGAATCAACAATGTAAAGGTTTACTTAACACTGAGCAAGAGAACAACAACGAGCACGTACACGTCATGACACTAACAATCACACACAACACAACACTGAACAGTCCAGGGCTATATAGGGATGGTGATGAGATGATGAGGTGCAGGTGCGCTGGAGGTGATTAGGGTGCGTTGGGTTTCCATTCCGGTGTTGCCGAGGTGGTGCGCTCAGACCGGTGGCTCAGTAGACTGGCGAATCAGAGCGCCTGAGGGGAGCAACGGGAGGAGACGTGACATGCATCCTATGATGGTGCCACGTTGAAAGTGACTGAGCTCTTCAGTAAGGCCATTCTACTGCGAATGTTCGTCTATGGAGATTGCATGGCTGTGTGCTCGATTTAATACACCTGTCAGCAACGGCTGTGGCTGAAATAGTAGAATCCACTAATTTGAAGGGGTGTCCACAAACTTTTGTATATATAGTGTAAGTGAACCAGATCCACATGTGAGTGAGGTGACAGTCTTTTAAAAGCAGTAAGTAATTAGTTAAAACATTTAGACAACATCATAGGAATTATTGGTTTGTTGAGATATGGCCATAACACTGCCATGACAAATGGGTTGACAACATGTTTCATTATTCAAAAGTAGATTTTAAATAGTCCAGACAAATATAACAAGTGTTGTATGATTGGGTTGAAGACAATAACTACGTCATTAATTTATTTTGTACTTTTTATTTATTGTTTTTGTGCTGTCTCATATGTCATTTTCTTGAAAAACATCATACCACACTCAAGACTGTCCTGTCCATACATATATCGTGGAGACTACGTGGCTATGGTTGCCTAGCAACCGCTAAAAAACCCTTCCTCTCACAGCGTTGTAAGTTAATTGGCCTGTGTTGGTTGCTGTGGCGATTTTGCCTGTGATGGTTACCATTAGCAATTTTATTTTTGGCCGTTGCCTTTATTCACCATGCTCAACTGCATGGCGAGTTGCTGTGGCGACCATGAATTGTGTTTGGTGCATTGTGAGTTCCCTCTATTATTTTGTCCTGTTTTGCAAACACTGATCAATTATATGGCACTGTACCTCAGATTTTGTAAGCAATTGATTATCATGACATGCTATTATATTTTTTGTAATATAAGTATTTTATTGCGCAGAGCAATATTAAGCATTAACCATAAATCAAATATGGATATAAATATTTCCTTTGATGGATTTTGTTTTTGATTAGTTTCCTTTTTGTTGTTTGTCATGATTATCATTCTTACATATCCCCCATGTTTAGTTGGTTGTTGTTTTAGTTTCCGGGAGTGCAGGGTTTTTGTGAGGTTGTAATTGAATCCATGTGACTTTGTGCCTGAACTTTGTTTATTTTAGGTATGACTCATTGTGAGAATAAGTATGTGTAGCCTACCTACAAGTTAGTGACATAATGATGCTGTGTGCGTGTATGTGTACGTGTGTGGATCCACATAAAGTACTTGTGTGTATTAATAAATAAAGTAGTGTGTGTGGTTTTGTGTGTGTACCAAGTGAGACACTAACATTTCATGTGAGGGTTTTGGGTAAAACTGTATGGTTGTCATTGTGACACATCACACGTGCTGCTGACTGAGGTACAGCATTCCTCTGTAGGAATTCTGGGTTACTACGAATTTCCAATCAAACAAAAAGCCATAGGTTATGGTCTCATGTGCAACCTTTGATATAACCACTTATTTTAGAGGATGAGTTTGAAAATCGTCCTCTGTTATCTCTTAAAATTATTTAATAAGAAATGTTCATCTCTTTTGACGCAATTGTTTGGTCAATGAGATGTAATATTAGACTAGAGTATTAAGAAGAGATTTCGTTTTTTTAAATACCGCCCAGAATTCCTATTGTGCATGTCTGGAATTTATTTGCTTGCCAAAACGAGACAAAAAAATATTTAAGTAAGAAATGCACATCAATGCAGCAGTATGGTTGTCACTGTATGAGTTGCATGTACCCTAGGCGTGCGTGCTTGTATAGTTAAAAATTAGGACATCCATGTGATATCTGTGTAACCAACGTGTTTGCAGATGTTTCTCCCACACTTCAGAAGAGTGTGAACATATTAAATATACAGTGGGGTCAGAAATGATTGACACCCTTGATAAAGATGAGGAAAAATTACTGTAGAAAATAAATAATTCAAATTCTGACCTATATTGTATGCAATTGGTAAATTATATAATTTTATACTAGTACTGCTCAGGGAAATAGATTTTGTTTAACAAGTAATACTTTTTTTTCTTAAGAAAGGTAGGGGTCCAAATTATTGACACCACTGTTTTCAAAACCTTTCAATACCTCACCTTGCGAGGATAACGTCACTGAGACTTTTTCTAAAATGTTTTATGAGTTGGAGGACATATTGGGAGGGATCTTAGACCATTTGTCCATACAGAATCCTTCCAGATCCTAGATATCATTCATCTGCGCTTATGGACTGCCCTCTTCAATTCAAACCACAGGTTTTCAGTGGGGTTCAAGTCCTGAGACTGAGATGGCCATTAAAAAATGTTGATTTTTGGCAAATTAACAATTTATTTGTAGATTTAGATGTGTGCTTGTGGTTGTCTTGCTGGAAGATTCACTTGCGGCCAAGTTTCAGCCTCCTGGTAGAGGCAACCAGGTTTTTGGCTAAAATATCCTGGTACTGGGTAAAGTTAATGATGCCGTTGACCTTAACAAGGCCCCAGGACCAGTTTAAGCAAAATAGCTTAAGGGTAGGCCTTGTCAAAGAAGTCAACAGCATCATGAACTTTACCCAGTACAGGGATATTTTAGCCAAAAACCTGGTTGACTCTGCCAGGAGGCTGAAACTTGGCCGCAAGTGAATCTTCCAGCAAGACAATAACCCCAAGCACTGAAGCACACATCAAAATCCACAAAGAAATTGTTAATTGGCCACAAAATCAGTCTCCAGACTTGAAACCCATTGAAAACCTCTGATTTGAATTGAAAAGAGTAGTCCATAAGCGCAGACAAAGGATATCAAGCATCTGGAAGGATTCTGAATGGATGAATGGTCTAAGATCCCTCCCAATGTGTTCTCCAACTCATAAAACATTTTAGAAAAAGGCTCAGTGCCATTATCCTTGCAAGGTGAGGTATTGAAAACAGGGGTGTCAATCATTTTGACCCCTACCTTTTTGAGGAAAAAAATAATTACTTGTTAAACAAAATCTCTTTCTCTGAGCAATTGTATTAGTATAAAATAATATAATTTCCCCATTATTTTAAGCATACAATATAGCTCAGTATTTGAATTATTTATTTTATACAGTCATTTTTGCTCATCTTTATCAAGGCTGTCAATAATTTCGGACCCAACTCTATATGCTCATCTAAACTGTTTTAATATTTGTATTCATCCTCTCTCTTTCTTTCTGTCTCTCTCTCCCAGGGAAGATATGAGTTCTATCAAGAAACTACTTCCAGCATTTTGGTTTCGCCCAAACCATATAGCAAAGGAGCAACAACACTTCTAAAAAAATAAGATAAAATATATGTATCTTCTAAAAATCTGCAACAACAGAATAAAACAAATGTAGGTGGGTGGTTCGGAGTACACATACCATACCAACAGC